CCAAAAGACCAAATTTTAAAGAACAAAAGTTGAAACTAATGAGGTCTTTCTGATTAGATTATCAATTGATAAAGCTCAGTCAAAACTGATCAAATCAGTAATGATTTGAAATAAACAGCAACAAATAAAAAAAATTTCAAAATTACTACGACAGCAAACAAAAAAAAAAATAAATTTTTTGCCTCTGTTTCTTTTAGTAATAAATTTTTTTTTTTTTTTTTAAAAAGCCGATTCGTCGTTCCTTCACCTCGCCAGTCATCGCCGTCGTTGCCATTGCCGTCAGTCCATTGATACCGGTCAGACAGAGGATTGTTTGAATTAAACAGAACACAATGACACTAAAAAAAGAGTGAAATTAATCCGACTCAACCAAAAACTCTTTTTTCTGAAGATCGCCTTGATTGATTTCAAGCCATCGATCTTAATAGTAGTTATAGGTACAATATACATACACACACACACACACACACACAAACACACATACACATACTCAAATATATAACTCATTCTCGACCAAGGACATAAATATCTAAAAAAAAAAAGAAAAACAAAATTAATTTCCTCTCTTTCTTTAAAAAAAATTATTTTTAAACAAAAGAAGTAGCAAAAAGAAAGATTTATTTTTTGTTTTTTAATCAATCAACAAATCAACTAGAAGTAAACTGAAAAAAAAAAAATAAAAAACAGGTCTCACTTTGTCTTTCTTAAGTCGACCATTTTTTTTTTTTTTCTGCTCTCTACTTCAACTCCTTGTTTTTGCTAAGCACTTAAGCTGTAGTCATTGTGTTTTTCACCATCAACTACATTTCTAACAGCAAGAATAACAATAAAATAATCAAATTATACAGGTAATGTAAACAGAATCTATAAAATCTCACTTCAAAAATTACTCCCTTTTTTCTCTCCTCTCCTCACCCCAGACTTACCATATCCAATATATGATTCGCAATCAGTGAAATACATCATAAAGATTAGATGTCACTCAAAAAATTAGCATTTAAACAATAAAAAATTGCTATTTATTGAGCTATTTTTAGTGACAGTGATTTACACCGGTCAATAAATAATGAGAAAAGAAAAACGAAAGAGAGCAGAACAGAGAAAGAAGAATAAAAATACTAAACATCTTGTCCACATATTTAATAACCTTAATTTTATTAGCTGTTCAGTCATACTGCTGAACAGTGTCACAACTAAGGAGCAGTACTTTAGAATTTTAAAAAGATGAAAATATTTGGGATCAAATCAGAGGTTGGATATGAATTAGATATCTATAGCTGTTATATAAACTTAGTCAACTAAAGGCATATAGAAGAATTATCTGTTAAATATGAGACGTTAGGCTGCTAAAAGAATGCGAAAAAAAACACTACACATCTTGAAA